CTGTCTGTGAAAACTAGTGGAGATGGAGCTGGTAGAAGCAAGCACTGGATTCCCAACCAGTTCCTGCTAAGAGGTGCAGACACAGACTTACTCAGACTCACTCCCTCTGAGCTCTAGCACAGGGGTAGCAGCTTGAAAGGCACCAGTGGCGTACGGGGAGGAACTGAAGTGTCTGGCATCAGGGTGAGAGCTGGGGTCACTTTTCTGCCAGGCAGAAAGAGGGGCAGAGGACATTGTTCCTTTCCTGAACCTTCCCCCGACAGAGCAACAGAGCCATAGAGCCATCCTGTCAGTGTTATATCTGAGACTCCATCAACCTGTCTCACCTCGTTAGCCCCACCTGGAGATTCCCTGAGGCTCTGCCCCACCCAATTTATGGGCCCATCCAAGCTAATAGTAGCGGTTTTTCCATATAAATGGTTTGTCTTAGCTCATGCTTCATATCTTCCTAAATCCCCTCAATAACCAGCCTAAGTGATTCCCCAACCCCTGTACCTCTAGCTAAGTGGCCACAGTCCCAGCCCTAGCAGCAGCCAGCCCTGGATCACAGTTTGGCTTCACCTAGGAATCTCCAAGCTCAGCATAGGTAGCAGCTATCTCAGATTGCTTTGCAGTTCATGCAGTGTGGCCCCCACCATAACACAGGTGGTGGCTGACCTTGGACTGCCCCAGAGCCTGCACCCAGTGGACAGCTACAGACCATGTCAGAGCACTACCACTCTGCCCCTGCACAGCTGACTCTCCACAGAGGGTGGAGGTTGGTGGTCAGTAGTCATAGCCAGTCCTTGCAGCTGACTGGCCTGGGAAAATTCCTCCCATTGACCTGCCAACAGCAATCAAGTCTCAACTACAAGAGGAGGGTGTACTCAGCCCACATTTAGGGCACACCTTTAGTGCCCAGCTTGGGTGCCACTGGACCCTACAGGACAACTACTACACTAGGCCATGCTACCAAGACAGGGAGTCATAGCAGCTCTACCTAATACATAAAAACAAACCCAGGGAAATTGCCAAAATGAGGAGACAAAGAAACATGGCCCAAATGAAAGAACAGATCAAAACTCCAGAAAAAAAAACTAAACAAAATGGAGATAAGCAATCTGTCAGATGCAGAGTTCAAAACACTGGTTATAAGGAACTTAGTGAGGACCCTGATAGCATAAAAGAGACCCAGAAAGAAATGAAAGATATACTAATTGAAATAAAGAACAATTTATAGGGAAACAATGGTATAGTGGATGAAGCCTAGAATCAAATCAATGATTTAGAACATAAGGAAGCAAAAACAACTAGTCAGAACAACAAGAAGAAAAAAGAATCCCCCACATTGAGTATAGTGTTAGGAGCCTTTGGGACAACTTCAAGTATACTGACATTTGAACCATAGAGATGGCAGGAGGAGAAAAGAAAGAGTAAGAAATTGGAAATCTATTTGAAAAAATAATGAAAGAAAACTTCCTTAATTTGGTGAAGGTAATAGACACGCAAGTCCAGGAAGCACAGAGAGTCCCAAACAAGATGGATGCAAATAGGCCCTCACCAAGATACATCATAATTAAAATGCCAAAGGTGAAAGATAAAGAGAGAATCTTAAAAGCAACAAGAGAAAAGCAGTTAGTTACCTGCAGGGGAGTTCCCATAAGACTGTTGGCTGATTTCTCAAAAGAAACTTTGCAGTCAAGAAGAGATTGGCAAGAAATATTCAAAGTCATGATAGCAGGGACCTACAGCCAAGACTGCTCCACCAGCAAAGCCATTATTTAGAATTGAAGGGCAGATAAAGAGCTTCCCAGACAAGAAAAAACTAAAGGAGTTCATCATCACCAAACCATTATTATATAAAATGTTAAAGGGACTTATTTAAGAAAAAGATGATCAAAACTATGAACATATAAAATGGTAATAAACACATATCTATCAGCAATTGAATCTGAAAAACAAACTCAGTAAACAAGAAGAACAGAGACAGAATCATGAATACAGAGAGCATTTTGTGGTTGCCAGATGGAAGGCGGTTTGGGGGAATGGATGAAGAGGTGAGGGTATCAAGAAGTAACAATAGGTAGTTTCAGAATAGCCATGGGGATGTAAAGTGCAGTATAGGAAATGGAGTAGCCAAAGAACTTATGCACATGACCCATGGACATGAGCAATGGTGTGTGGGATTGCCTGAGGGAGTGGGGGGGTGTTGGATGGTGAGGGACTAAGGAGGAAAATAGGGACAACTGTAATAGCATAATCAAAAAATGTAATTAAATTTTTTTCAAAGGGTATTTGTTTTTCCTCAGTACAGGTTGGACCGGTGCCTCCCACCGAGAGGCCTAGGGGCCAGGGTTTTCCGGCCGCGGTGAGGTGCACGCAGGGATTGAGAGGGAATGTTTAGCGATCTCAGAGCAACTTCACAGAGTGATTTTATACTCATCAAACTGAATAACAAAACATCTGGATTCGTATTTGGTATGTCTTTTATTTTGCAAAAGTAGCAGGCTGAGACAGATGAAAGAGCAGGGACAGTTTGAGAAAGCCCCGACTAGACCAGGGGTCGGCCAGCTCTTCCTGTGAGGGGACAGACGTCCGGGTTGTAACCATTCGGTTCCACTGTCCTGGCCTGCGAGCGCTCGCTGACAACATGTGAAACCAAAGATTGCAATCAAACTTTATTTATTGCCACTAAAATGTAAATTTTACACCCTTTTAAGTGTGTGACAAATATTATCCTTCTTTGGATTTTTTCCAACTACTTAAGAATGTAAAAACCATTTTTTAAAAATATTTTATTTATTTATTTTTAGACAGAGGGGTAGGGAGCGAGAAAGAGAGGGAGAGAAACATCAGTGTGTGGTTGCCTCTCATGTGTCCCCAACTGGGGACCCAGCCTGCAACCCAGACACGTGCCCTGACTGGGAATCAAACCGGCAACCCTTTGGTTCACAGGCCGGTGCTCAGTCCACTGAGCCACACCAGCCAGGGCATAAAAACCACTCTTGTACAGCTTGTAAGCTGTACAAAACCAGGCAGCGGGGAGGTCTGGCCAACTGGCCATAGTCTGCCAGTCCCTGCACTACCCTCTATTGTCTCTGACACTTAGTGTCTGTCTAGGGAGAGGAATGTGCTGCTCGTGGCCACCCTAGCGCTGCTCCCTCCAGGTGACCACTTTCGTTAGCTTCTTGTGTGTTCTTTAAGGTTTCTGGTAACATCAGCAAGTACCCTCCCCTGCAGCCTCCCCTACATAAATGTAGCGCACCATTCATGCTGCCCTTCACCTTGCTCCTTTCACTTGCTGCCATGCTGGAGCCCTATTATCTGCAACAGAGAAAGCTTCCCTCGTTAAACGGGTGCTTTCCATTTCGAGGTTGTATCATCATTTATCGAGCGAGTCCACTCTACATGGACACTTGGGTTATTTCCAACCCAATTCAGAATAATGTAGCAATTAAACAAAATTCTCATGGGTCATTGTGCGTGTGCATGCGCCTGTGTGCCTTTGTAGGGTAGATTTCAGGAAGAGGGGTCGCTGAGCCCAAGGATAAACACATTTATAATGTTGACAGATACGCCGGTTGGCCCTCTGTGGGCATTTTGCCCTTCCACTGGCTACAGAGGAGCGAATTGCTTCCCCGACTCAGCCTTGCCCACAGAGCAGGTTGTCACACTTTGGGATTTATATCTATTTTAATAACATAAAAATGATATCTCAGTGGAGTTTTAATTTGCATTTCTCTCATTACGAGTGACTGTGGACATGCTCAGGGCTTTCACTAGCAAGTGAAGCATGTTTATGCAGAATTTGAAAAAGGCTCCCCTCTGGGAAGATGAATTAGAGAAAGGCGCTGCCTCTGGGTCAGTGCAGACAATAGGACTGTGCATGGGTTAAAGCTCAGCTCTCGCTCGTGTCCCCACGCAGGGGGCCTTTGTGTGGGGGTCCACACTCAGCAGCCCTGAGAGTGACAATTAAAGTAACCGGTCCCAGCGGTACCCTGGACGACAGGAGGGGCAGCAGCATCCAGGTGAAGGTAGGACCAGCTGCATAATTTATGGGTCCCAGTGCAAAACAAAAAGCGGGAGCCTATCTATTATGAATTTTGAGGAGGCTGGGGCACAGCATTCAACGAGGTGTGGTGCCCTTTCGAGGATGGGCTGGGCAGGACTCTGCCTGTGTCGTAGCCCAGGAAGCCAGTCCGAGGTGAGGGGACAGCGCCCCAGGGTCTAGCTGGTGGCCAGCATTACCTGAACCCACCTTCCCCAGGCTGGCAACACAGGAGAACATACCAGGTGGAACGTGTGAACTACAGCCCCCAAAACCTCAAGACCAATGGTCCTGTTTTCCCCCAGGAGGCCAGCAGGAGCTGCTCTTGCCCAGGGAAGGAGCCGTGGATGGCTGAGTTTCACCTGTGCCTGGCCCAGTGCTTTACATTTGGTATCTCTTTGAATTCTCCAGCAAGCCCAAGCATTCGGTACCAGAGCTATCATCTCCATTTAGATGAGGGAAGACAGGTTCAGGGAGGTGGTGTTGGGGAATTCGACTCAGCTGGTTTGACTCCAGGGTCTGTATTTTTAACCCCCAACACTACTTGTCTTGTACCAGTCTGGACATATTTGTTGAACCGGGTAAGTGGAATGAAATGAGAGCACTGATGAAAAACACCTTTATCAAAGAGCAGTCTGCCAGGTGCTTACACACACACACACACACAGCCAATGAATTGCTTTATTGAGAAGAGCCCCTGGGAGTGTAGCTGCCACTGCTCAGCAGGAAGCAGGACTTGGAGAGGGGGGAGAGTGGGGGAGCACATCTCCTGCCACATGAGGAAGAGGGGGACAAGGTGCAAGGCATGCCAGCCTCAGGGCTTCTCACTCTGGGCAGAAGTCTTCTATCTGGGGATTTAAGGGCTCCTCAGGATGAGAGAGGGGTGTTTGTTGTCGCTTCATTGCCGGGGGTGACTAGCTAGGGTGCAGAAGGGGTGGGGCCCAGAGAAGGAAACCCGGCCTCGGTAGGTGGGGCGGGGGGGGGGGCTTCCAGGGCGAGGCAGCCCTCAGCACTTGGGGGCCTTGCCCCTGCACTTGTTATTGTTGTAGTATTGGTACTTTCTGCTGTAGCTCTTCCGGGCTTTCACAAAACACATGGCGGCTGCTTTATCGCACTGACACAGTTGGCTCCTGCAGGAGTCCTGCTTTGCTGCAGTCACAAGAAAATAAACACCAGATGGAGGGTTGTTAATTTTATAGCTCTTCGTGGGAACCCTGGGGGGAAAAGATGCGGCCCCCGTCCTCCAGAAGCTTCTGGTCTGAGAGGAGCACCTATGCCCCAGATTTCTGATGGATGGGAAGATAGGGTTCCTGCCCTTGGGAAGCTAGCACCCAGCCTGATGGGGACGCAACAGCATCCAAGCACTGGGGGACTCTTAAAGGCCTTCCCGACAGCCATTCTTTCTTTCTTCTCGCCGACAGATGCGTCCAGGTGCAAAGCCCCAGCCGCTGGGGCCTGGGAATGGGTGGCGATTGGTGTAAACTAGGCATAGTCATCCCTTTTTCCTTTCAATGATTGGTCTCTGGGTGGCACGTGACCTGGTTCTGTCCAATGAGCCACCAGAGGAAGACTCCTGGGGGTTGTGGGAAGGATTAATTTATTCCCTCAAAAAGAGACTTCCAAGGGTAAGGCCATGGTTCTTGGAGGGCACCGTGCGTCCTGGCATCACACTGCGACACAGTGGAGCAGAAGGTGGGGGAAAGGCTGGGTCCCTGACAACGCAGTTGAGAAGCTGCCCCGGCCCTGGCACCGCCCTCTCCCAGACCTCCGTTTTGCCGGAGTCAGACTTCCCCGTTATCCAGTCCACTTCTAGTTGGGCATCTTGTTGCTTGCAACCCAAAGCCTGCTAAAATACAGGACCCCATGGGGAGATCATGATGGGGAGACCTAATTTCTGATCTTAAAGAGCCCAAGGTGTGCGGTGAGAGGTGTTGCTTCCTCAAAGGCCCTCCTGTGGACCTGTGGTGGTGGTGGTGGGGGGGGTGGGGGGACTGGGCAGAACTTTTCAGGGACCACCCAGCTTTCTCCTCCCCTTCAGAGCCACACTTGCTCCACAAGGTTGTCTCTACTTACCGCCTTGGCTTTCTGCTTCTCCCCGCCCACTGTAATCTGCCTCCGCCCTCATGCTCCATGGCAACAGCTCCCACTGAGATCCTTAGTGGTCTTCCTGCCTCTAAGTCCCAGGAGCCTGTCAGCCCTTATTCTGGAGACTCCGCTGCTGTTAAATCGGCCACAGTTAACTCCTTGCCCTTCTCTCTCCGCTCTTCTCCTCCCTCTCTGACTATCCCCTCCTCTGTCTTCCTTCTAGGCCTTTAAACACCAAGTAGGGGATGACTCCTGAATCTGGGGCCCCTGTCCAGACCCCTCCCTGGAGCCGCAGGTTCCTACATCCAGTTGCCTGCTTCACCTCCCCTGGGGTGTGCTGGAAGCCTCTTAAACAGGCTCTACATGAATCCCCCTACCCCTCATCCACCAGGACAACCTCCTGTTCCAGCCACACAGACGTGTACCCATTCAACAGCTCCCTCTGACCCTGCGCATCTCTGCCTGAAATGCATCTTAATGTCACTCCCCATCCCTTCCATCAAGGCTGCCATTAACATATGTCCAATGGCAATGATCTTCTCACTGCTCCCCACCCCCTTCCCTTGTTCTCTGCACCCGCCCAGCAGCCAGGGTGAGTCCTCTCAAATGCAGTCATGTCACTCCTTTGTTCGACAGTGCCCTACTGCTCCAGGATGAAATCTAAATACAGTATGACCTTGGCTTTGATCTAGCCCCTTCCCACGCCTTCAGCCTCATTTCTCAGCACTCCGTGTCCTTCAGCCTCGTTCCCCTGGGTCCCTTGGGCTCTGCCGAGTGAGTCTTCTGGTAGGAATTCCCCCCAGACACGCTCTCCCCTGGTGCCTGCATGGCCAGCCGTGAAGACTCAGCTTGGATGCCCTGTGTTCAGACACTTTTCTGAACTTCAACCTGTATTCGGGGCCCCACCCTTTTGCTTACCTCCTATTCTTGTCTCCCATGTTGTGTTTTCATGTTTTTGACTTCCCACTCCCCTCTGAGCTCCCTGAGGCAGGGTCACTGTCCCTTTGTATCTCCATCCCTGGGACCCAGCACAGTGCCCGGCACAGCGGACACCCGGTAAGAGAAACGAAGGAGCTGGGGCGAGGCTGTAGGACACTCTTACCACAGACGATTCGGCCCTTCCGGTAAGCAAACTTGTAGCTCAGAAGCTTGGTGCCACACCCTCGTTTCTGCAGACGGTAGTAGCAGCAGTCGTGTGTGGCGCAGCACCTGTGACGGGAATATGTCGTTGGGGCTGACTCCGCACAGCGCCAGTGAGCCTGGTGCCGCGGTCTCTCCCCCTTGACCCTGGGCAGAGACCCAGTGACTTTGCCATAGACTAAGCAGAGTTTCCCAAACATGCTGGCTGCTTTCCCAGCAGGGACCTCCTGGGATTCTGTGATGATGGGCACCAGACCTACAGGAGCCACAAATGGGTGGAGGGTGGGGAGGGCTGGGGTGGTCTCACCGATCCGTCGCATCCTTGGGGGATCCTTTGCCGCCCACACCGCAGTGGCAACCATAGAAGGAATAACTAGATACAGCTTCCTTTCTTGTCGCCAAATAGATCATTTTATGGAAATCCAGTAAACTCCCCTGGGTCTGCAGCGTGCCTGGAAGGAAATTGGCTGGTGGTAGGGTCTGGGGCTCTGTGCTCCCCCTCCGTGCCCCTTGCTGAGAGGCTACTCTCCCTCCCACCCTGGTCTCTCTCCCACCCACTGAGAGGGTCTGTCCAAATGGGACAGAAAGCCAGGGCTCTGGGTGCTTGCATCCTGGGCGTCCCCTTGTGGCCAGAGGTCAGGTCAGCCCTTACCAAAGGCCATGGTCAAGGCCAACAACAGAAGGGTCTTCATGGCGACAGTTCCCTGTGGGAGACATGCAGGTGAGTGGACCTAGACTCCTCTCCCAGGTGGTCCCAGCTTCTTCCCTGGCCCCCTGCTCTCCGGTTCGCACTCAGCAGCCCTGGAGGAAGGAATCTTCAAGGGAACATGCAGACGTATCCTTAATCTAGGTGACTTGTCACCTACAGAACACATGAGGGATATGTGCACACAGGACCTCCTGACCCTCCCCAGCTCTGTTGAACGTTTTCACACACGTGCGTGGGCCTCAGACCCGGCCAGAACCCCACATGGTACACAAGGTAAAGGACACTAAGGAGACCTCCATGGTACCCATCAGACCGAGACCTCCTGGAGGTTGCAACCCAGCCACCCCAACCAGCTGAGAGGTTCCCAAGGCCATAGGTTGTGTGCCCCCGCATTGGACGTGTCTTACTTGTTCCAGCTGATTCGAGGCTTGGGGATTCCATCCATGCAGTCCGGTCCCCAATAATGTTCTCCAAAACTGAAGCCACACCCACTCTTTGCAGGACTTTCCGGCTCCTTACACACATATTCCTACACACGCACAAGTGCATATATACTCACATACATATGCACACTCTCGAGCTCCCCCCCAGTGCAGGCCTTGCGTGCAGTCTACTCCCATACCCACACAACATGCTTGTGCACACAGACCCAAAGCATGCACATGCATGTTTATGTCCATGCATGCCCCCACATGCATAAACACATGTGCACACACATGCACAAACACAGCAGGGACTCATACTCCTAAAGGGCATGGTTTTCTGGGTGTTTACCTTTCAGAAGAAGCCAGAGTCGACAACTCCAAGTAACTGTCCTGATTACTCTGAACTCCAGGTGCCATTAAATAGCTGCCCCACCCGGGGAGGGGGGGAGTGGGTGGATATGCAGATGGGCAGGGGTGTGGCCGACTGGTGGACTCAAAGTTTGGCATGCCCACACCCCCAGGGCGATCCCCTTGTTTTTCTTCTTCATTAGCTTGCAGGGCAGAGCCGAGGATGGAAAAACCTTATGTACTGTTAGCTGATGCCAAAATTTTAGATTACTTTGTAATCTTTCCCCTGGGCCTCATTCCTGACTGAGTACATTGCTAGAACTGGCTCTGGGAGTGAGCACTGGTTTCCTCCCTGGGACTGTGTTTATGGAGCAGAGGCTCCTACCGCTGCAGGCTGGGCACTCACCTGCACGGCCACGGGACCGTGGCGCCTTTCCTCAGCCAAGTGTGGCATCTGGTTATAGAAAGGGGGGCGTTCATTGGTATTCATTCATGCCCTGATCAGTCATTCACAGAAAGTACGTACTCAACCACCACACAGTGCCAGGACCCATGTGAGTCTCTAAAGGAGGATGATGAGGCCTCGTCCGGCCCCTGGGGACGTCAGCTGGGAAAGGGGTGTAATGAAGCAGAAGGTCCCTTCCCACTGACTTGGGTCAGTGTCTCCAACTTCTCTTCTTGCTCCTCTTTCTTCTTCTTCTTCTCCTTCTCCTCCCCTTGTGGAAAAAGCCAGAAACTGCAGTGGAGTTTGCCCTTAAGTACTGCCTCTACCTCAGCCCAGTCCTTACCTGTTTGAGATGGGAACAATTAGCTCTCCCTGCACTGATTGTTTCTTCTTCTTCAACTGTCAGGGACGCAGTGGGTCTGGCTTTAACATCTAAAGCAAATATTTTTTTCCCCTGCCCCCCAATACACCCTAAGAGCTTAGTTTCCACAGCCTTGAGTAAACACTCCCTGACACCTGTCCCCAAAAAGTCAGTGTGGCAGAGGTCATGATGCCCATAAACATTCTACCTATTCCCCACCTTCCCCAGGTCCCCTCCCAGTACACAGGCCCAGGACACCAGTTCTGGTTAGAACACACGGGCATTGGTGCTGAGGCTCACTTCGGCCTGAACCAAGGGACAGAACCATGCGTGGCACCCTGGCCTTTCCCTGCCCCTCATGGCGGGACCAGAAGAGAGAAGCAGCTTAGGTTCCTGAGTCAGGGCACGGAAAAAACCAGTGGTGGAGAGTCCTGCAGACCGCCAGTGGACTCTGCAAGAAAGACATTTTGTCATTTCACATCACTGATCCTTGAGATTGGTAGTGACTGCCGCATACCGTGGTCTACGCCAGCAGCCGTCTAGGCAGCTTTCACCTTGGAGGTACACTTGACTTCAAGTGCGAGACCTGTGCTCGGTGGAAGAGGGTGCCCTGCCAAATTCCTGTGTTGAAGCCCTGACTCCCAGTATCTCAGAATGTAAATGTATTTGAAAGTAGGGTCCTTGAGGCTGTAATTAGCAAAGATAAGATCATGAAGGTGTGCCTAATCCAATATTACCGGTGTCCTTATCAAAACAGAAAATTTGGGCGCAAACACACACACGGAGGACGCCCCCTTCTGGTGGACGTGAAGATGTCGGCAGGGATTGGGGCGACGTTTCTGTACACCGAGAAACACCGAGGGTTGCTGGGAAGCCACCAGAAGGTAGGGGAGAAGAATAGAACAGGTCCTCCCTCGGGGGAACCCACTGCGCCCGCCCCTTGATCTCAGACTTCTGGCTGCAAGGACTCTGAAATGATACCTCCTGCTGTTTAAGCCACTCCGTTTGCAGGATTTTGTGCTTAGTGCACAGCCCTAGCAAACTCATGCACCCTCCAGGGGGCTGTGCCAGGCTGGGATGTTTGTTCTCCTAGCTGTTTGTTTTAGACCCGAGGCAAGACTCAGAGGCGATGGGCCAGACCGTGGCTTTTTGTTAAGCATCTCAGCTTTTAACATGTCATTTCTCCAGCAGGTAAACTGCCTCCCGCACACACATCCTGATCCTGCTGGGCCCCGGTGTGGCGGCCTGGCCACAACACTCGAGGACTCTGTCGGCCTTCTCTCTTCCCGCCTTTTCAGGATTTCCCCCAGGAATTCAAAGTCCACGATTCAAAGTGGCCTCTGGTGTGCCTCCTTCACCCCAGGACTAATTTAGGCACTAGAGTACATCAGTGAACCGAATACACATCTCTGTTTGTGGGTCTCCATGTTATTGGAGAGAGACAAAGAATAAACGAAAGATAATAACTTGTATGTATGTTAGGTGGTGATAATGCAAGGGAGAAAGAAGAATAGAGAGAGAGAAGGGCTCGCAGGAGTGAGTAGGTGAGGGATGGGCTGCAATTTTACGTAGGATGGACATTCCCAAATGCAACATGCTTTGAGCACAGTCAGTGCTCAGAAAAGTTTACTTAAATTATTCATACTTCTAAAGACTCAGCCTTTTGGCAGTGATTCTTTTCTTTTTTCTTTTTTTAAAGACTCTATTTTTAGATAGGGGTAAGGGAGGGAGAAAGAGAGGGAGAGAAACATCAGTGTATGGTTGCCTCTTGCACGCCCCCTACTGGCAACCTGGCCCACAACCCAGGCATGTGCCCTGACTGGGAATTGAACCAGCGACCCTTTGGTTTGCAGGCCAGTGTCAATCCACTGAGCCACACCAGCCAGGGCTGGCAGTGGTTATTTTCAATGTCAGGATATGGTTGAAATGTTTTCTGCTGCTTTCTGTTTTCTATTTTTGTGTGTGTGTGTGTGTATGAGGAAAGCTTACTCAATACTCTTTTCTGGGGGGGGGGAAGTATCTGATTTTGAAATACATTTGCATTTATAGGAAAGTTGCAATGTAAACTTGGGGAAGTTCCAGCTTCCCCAAATGTTAGCATCCTACACAGGACCACGGTATGACGGTGGAAACCAGGAAGTGAGCATTGTTCACTGATCTGCGCACGCATTGGAAGGCCGCCAGTTTTCCTATGAATGCCTTTCTCCCAATGCAGGCCCCCATCCGGGTTCCACATCACATGCCATTTTCATGTCTCCTTGGTCTCCACTAACCTGTGACAGCTCCGTACTCTTTCTTTGCTTTTCGTGACCTTGACACTTTTGAAGAACACTGCTCAGGGTTTGGTGGAATGTCCCTCAGCTGGGTTTATCTGATGTCTCCTGGAAACCAGGCTGAGGGTATGCATCTTTGGCAAGACTGTCACAGAAGTGACATTGCGCCTTTCTCAGGGAAACGTGTCAACAGTCCACAATATTGATGGGTCTCATTCCCATCGATGTTCACCCTGGGCCCTCGGCGAAGGTGGTGTCTGCCAGGTGTCACCCGGGAAAGTTACCCTTTTTCCTTTCGTGATCAGTTAGTATCTTGGGGAGAGTTACTTTGAAACCACCCAAGTATTCCATTGCTCCTCATCCTTCTACTCACTAGTTTTTAACATTAATCCATGTTCTTGCCTGCAACAACTGTTACTGGCATTTTTTTTATTTCTCTCGTCCCTTCAACATTAATAATTTAAATGTGGCCTTTCGCAGTGTTGCTATCATTGCTTATCAGTTCCAGATTTTCCTTTGTTGTTGTTGGTTTGGGGGGATTTTTTTTTACATAGACAACCACGCCACCTGTGAAGAAACACAGTTTTCTTTCTTGCTTCAGAGGTGAACACTTGTCTTTCCTTTTCTACTGCATTAGCCAGGACTTGCGGTATAACATTGAGTGTTGAGAGGGGACATCCTTGTGTTCCTGATGCTGGCAGAAAAACGTCTGCTTTTCTCACCGTTAAGTATGATTTCAGTAGGTTTTTAAATATGTTCTTTATCCATAGAGGCAATTCCCTTCTACTGCTGAGAGTTTTTATCATGAATAAGTTTGTCAAATGCTTTTTCTGCACCTGTTGTTTCTATCATATGGGTTTTCTTCTTTAACCTGTTGATGGGACAGAGGCACTAATTGATTTTCTTTTTTTTCCCTCGTTTTTTTAATTTAGTTGATTTTCAAATATGGAATCAACTTTGCTCATCTGGAATAAATCCTACTTGGTTGTATAATTTTTAAAATGCATTATTCGGTGCAATTTGCTGGTATTTTTGAAGATTTTTGTACCAGTGTTCATGAGAGATATGTCTGTAGTTTTCCTTTCTTACAATCTCTGGTTTTGGTATTGGAATCATGCTTGCCTCGTAGAATGAGGTAGGGAGAATTCCCTCTGTTTGTGTTTTCTGAAAGAGATCGTAAAGATTGGTATAATTTTTCCTTACATATTTGGTGGAATTTACTAATGAAATTATCTGGACCCGGTGGTTTCTCTTTGGGGAAGTTATTAATTATAGGTGTAATTTCTTTAATGACTGTTGACCTGTTTCAGTGATCCATGTCTCCTCGGGTGAGCTCACGGCGTGGATGGGAGCCGCTGGCTCAGTCCTGCCGAAGGTGCGCCCCTGGTGATGGGAGCAGTGATGACGTCTTCGTGGTTCCAGGAGCAGCTTCCCGTCGTGGCGGAAGCAGCAGCTCCCTTGGCAGAGCCGTTCTGTGACGTGACTCTGGGAATGTGTTTTTGGAAACTCGCCCTGTGTTCTCAGGACTCCCAGTGATTCTGCAGGATGCATTGCCCTTCTGTGCGTATTTTTATCCTAATAGCTAGATTGCCCTCTCCGAGTGGTGCCCCAGGGGACACTTGCTGGGGGCGTTCTGAGAAAGGAGGCCCCAAGTGCCAGGGATGTTACCGGGGAAGTGCGCTGTTGGAGACAGAGAGAAAAGGTGCTGGACGGACCACTGAGAATGAAATGGAGCGGGGAGGTTGGAAGGGGTCAGGCAGCTGTGAGCCTTCTGGCCTGCTTGGCTCGACCTATGACGCTGTGAAGCCATGTTGTAAAACGTGAAATATTATTGATCAGTCCTTACTTTCAGTCAAGTCAGAGAGAAAGAGAGAGAGAGGAGGGGGGAGGAAGGGAGGGAGAGAGAGAAGTGCAGTGGCCGGGTTAGGATAGGTGTGAAGAGAAATGCGTTTGGGCGATGGTTTTAACACCAGACACAGTCAGAGGCTAGTGTCCCATGACCTTACGGAATCGGATCAGCCAAGAGCTCATTTGAGGGCCGAATAAAGCAAGTCTTTCACTGCAGCAGGGGGGCTGGATGACCCTCCCTGGACTACACAGCTTAGCGATTCCGTGCGCCGCTTCCGGGTTGGCTGCATCCCTCCACGGCTCACCCCTCGCTCCGGGATTTGATCCAGGGACACAAATAAACCCACCTTTTCATCTTTTCCAGAGAGCGTGCTTTGGTCCATTTTCCACTGTGAAAAAAAAACACTGGCACCCAGCGTGGCGACCACACGTTGGCTCCGCCCTGGCCTGCCTGCTGCCCTCCGGCCATCACTCTCTCTGCAGTTACTGACCTGGGCTTCCTCCTCTTGCTCAAGGTGGGTGGCCCCCCCCCCCAAATTCCTCTTTCCACATATCTTATGTCAAAGGGCCTCTCCTTGGGATAAGACACCTCCCTTCCTTCCCTGGAGAACAAGCCACCCTACTGCTATTTTATAAGCTGCCACATGTCTTTGGATATTAGTGTTTGTGTACCCAATCTGTCCACCCAACAAGGGGCTCTTCAAAGTCGAGGGGCTCTCCCTGCAGACTGAGGACCCTGCAGGAATATGGAACGGTCTTTCCGTCCGACGGGAAAGGCCCTGCGTCTCACACACCTACATCACCCATGCCATGCTGCAAGAAGGTGTAGGAAAGTGGTCCCTCGATTCCAACCGCGGGGAGACTGCCAGGACCCCTGAGGTGGCATGGAAGTCCCCCGCAGAGGAAAAGCTCTGTTAGTATTAATGGGATCAAGTTCAGTGGCCCACTGCACCCCCCCATAGCTGAAAACCCCGAGGGGACTGGCTCTGGGCTGAGAAGGAGAGATGGTTGGCTACTGTGCATCTCCTCCCCTTAGCACACCCCGAATGGGACCTGTAGAAGGGGAGGGCTCTGCAAGGGCGTGTTGAGTGGATGAATGAGCAGATGGATGAATAGTAAATATGTGGGGACAGGGGGCCCCTCCCAGACACCCGGTAGCAGGGCAGAAAGGTTAGTTGCTAATCCAAGGGCCCCCCCTTTGGGGGGCTCTGAGCTGACTGATAGCGAAGCTGCTTGTCTGAGGCATGGTTTGCTCATAACTGGAGAGAACTATGGTCCAAAGTCTTCAGAGTCTTAGGACCTGCGGCTGAGAAGGTCCGGAGAAGGTTCTGGAAAAAGCCCGCTCATGGCTTCTAAAAGTTTGTGTTTGGTTTGCTCACAGTGAGCAGGTGCTCTGGTAGGTGCTGGCTGCCTGTTCAGTCATTTCCTTGGCTGATTCGATTGCAGCAAAATCTTCTTTGGCTACGATGGGATGGAGGCAGGAACTCCTCCAGCCAAAATGTTTCTGAGGCCATCTGAGATCAGTGGAGACTGTGGTCAGAGGTACCAGGGGAAAAAGGTTCTCTATCTTTGCTTGTAGTCCCTGGCTACCCAGCCTTTCCAGGAGGGGCTACTTGGCCCGTAACTGGCTTTGAGACAGGTCGCCAGGCAGCAGCAGGCTGAGTACCTGGTCTGAACCCTCCTTAAAGGACTGATGGAGGGATGAGTGTGGGGGTGGAGGGAGGTGCATTCGGAAACTTCAAACCCCTGCCCTGCAAAAGGAAGAACAGGGCCCTGATTTGGAAGGAAAGTGCTCAGAATAAAAATAAAGAATGCAGTGTGGGAAGGACTTTTAATGAGGTTGGAGCTCAGTCATCAAATTTACAGACCGGGAAGCAGAGGCTCGGGGGAATCACAGCAGAGCTGACAGCCCGCTCTCCTCGGAGCCTTTGCTCCGGGTCGCGGTTATCTGGGAACAGGAAGTTTATCCAATCAATCACCTCCCTGTCATTGTGTGTGCCAGCTGGCTTAAGACTCTCAAGTCAGAAGCACGTCCTTACTAACTGCAAAGAAGCCATTGTCTGGGCAACCCCAGCAGTGACCTTCACAGCTTCTAGGATTTAATAAGCACTTGACTTGTTCAAACACAAATATTTGGTTGCCCTTTTGGCTGCCATGGGGTGTTACCCACCCTTTGTTGACTTTCACTTGAGACACATGATTTCCAATCTCAGACTTATTTGGTTGAGCAAGGAGTTCCGATGCCTTTGGAAACAGAACATGGATGTGATTCAGAGAGAAAGGGCAGTGAAAAACACAGATTTTAAAAAGATGGATTAAAAAATAAACACAAGAAACATCAATTGGCACTGTCATGAAATTAGATATTTCTCCCCTCCTCTATTTAGATAACAGATGACAGAAGGTGGCACGTAGGACTCTCGGACTTTGTCTGTTTGCCTGTCTTGCTACACCATGAGTCTAGCCCATATACCAGCAGCACTGGGATCATGAGGAAACTTGTTAGAAATGTTAGAAAAAATCTCAAGACTCATCACAGACATGTGGATTATAATCTGCAAGTTAACAAGATCCCAGGGCGACATGCAGGCGCAGGAAGATGTGAGAAGCGCTGCTCTGGAGAAGGAACACCAGTCGGACACAAAACAGGCCCCGGAGGAAGAAAGAGAATAAAATATTTACTGTGCTTGCATCATAGCCAAGAATGTATGTAATCATGTAAAAACATTTATTACAGTATTGGTCCTTTTTAAATTAATAGGCTTTGGGTTTGGGGGGGCTAGTTTTAGATTTACAGAAGAATTGTACAGAATTCCTGTATATTTTCCTCCCAATCGGGACACACAGTCTCCCCTCCTGTAAACATCTTGCACTGGTTTGGTACTCTTGTTACAATGAATGAATTCATATTGATACATTATTTTTAACTGAAGTCCATAACTCAAATTATTTAAGATGGGTACTCTGTGCATGGGTTTTGACAAATGCATAATGTCGCGTATCTACGGTCACTGTTCCTTGCAGACTAGTTTTCCACTGCCCTAAATTCTCCTGTGGTTCACCTGCTCATTTGCTTTCCCATCCTGCACTCCTGGCAACCAATGATCTTTCTACTCTCTCCATGGCATTACCGTTTTCCAAAATGACATGCAATCGGACTCATGCAATATGTAGACTTTTCAGAGTGTTTTTTTTCACTTAGTAATATGCATTTAAGGTTCCTCAGTGTGTTTTTTAATCCTTACTTGAGGACATTTTTTTTATTGCTTTTAGGGAGAGGGGAAGGGAGAGAAACAAGCATTAATGCAAGAGAGAAGCATTGATTGGTTGCCTTCTGTATACCCACAGACTGGGGATCGAACCCACAACCTAGGTATGTGCCATGACTGGAAATTGAACTTGCAACTTTCTGGTTACAGAACGACGCTCCAACCAACTGAGCCACACTGGCCAGGGCAATAGTTCGTGTCTTTTGTCGCTGAATAGTATCTCACCATATGGATGTACTATAGTTCGTTTATCTATTTACCTATTAAAGAACATGTTGGTTGCTACCAGTTTCTGGTGATTATGAAAAAAGCTGCTGTGAACATGCAAGTGCAGGTTTTTTTCTACATGTGACCTTCCAACCCAGGGGAATTGAGAAAAGGAGTGCAATTGCTGGATGGTATGGTAAGACAATACTTAGTTTTGTAAGACGCTGCCAGACCATCTGCCAAAGTGGCTGTACCATTTTGCACTCTTGCTAGCAATGTATGAAAGTTCCTGTTGCTCCACATCTTTGTCAACATTTGATGTTGTCAGTGTTTTGGATTTTAGCCATCCTCATAGGCCTATGGTTGTTGTTTTAATTTGCATTTCCCTGATGACATCTGATGTGAAGAATCTTCTCAACTGCTTTTCACCATCTATATATCTTCTTTGGTGAGGTGTCTGTGCAAGTCTTTTGCCGTGTTTTCTTATTACTGAGATTTTTTTTGTGTATTTTGGATACAAGTCCTTTGCCAAATATGTGTTTGGCAAACACTTGCTGGTAGTCTGTGGCTTGTGTCTTTCACCCGGCAGAAGTTTTCAATTATAATAAAGTCCAGCTTAACAATTCTTCCCTGTTTCCACATTCAGCTGTTTCATGTGGGTAGCTTGAAATCAGCCACGTGGGAGTACTTACACTTCAGAAGCTGACAAACTCTATAAATCAGAGTTTGTTTTTTTCTCACAAAAGTCAGTTATAAAACATTCGCCAGCACGCACCTACCTCCTGTTAGCCTTCTACTGAATCATCCGTTGGTCTGATTCTGGCTTTCCTAATGATTCTATTTTTATGCACCAGAGAAGTTTTTTGTTTTGAGTAAAATGTTGGCATTTTATTTTCCTTTGATTTAATTATTCTTATTGTTCACATTTCCCCTCTCACATAGGAGAGAGGGCTATCATCATTTTTGTATCTGGGTAGGAGTTCCCGAATAATATAAATTGGTATTTTTTCTTAATTGTTACTGTGTTGTTTATTTATAAATGACTTTGATATTAGTGATTAAAGTTCTGGTTATTGATGTGATTTTTGTCACAAATACACATGTAAAATTAATAATTACAAATGATTTGATGAAACTAAATTAATAAGGAAGAAGAGCTTTGTAACTTCAGAAATCTGATTTTTTGAAAATATCTAAAATCATTCAAAGTGCATATAATAATTATATTTTGTGAGTTTTTTTAATTTAAGGAATTAAATGCAATTTGATATGACAATAACCTCCTGTTTCACTTTATTGCATGCTTAATTAAAGTGCCTGTGATGTAGTAGGCACTTCATTATTTCAAAGTCAAAAGTAAGACACAGATGCTTGCTGTCCCACCTGGAATTCGATATTTTACTATAAGTCTTAGGCAATGGAATAATACAACGAAAATGAATAGGTCTAAAATATAGGCAGAAAAGGACAAAGTTGTCTTTTAAAGACACCATGATTTTTTCTGTAGACATCCCAAGAGATTATTAACATTATACACTAAGAGAATTTGACAAAGTAGCTAAATACAAGAACAACCTACAAAACCAAAAGTCATCCCCACGCACTTCCAATAATAAGTGAGAAAATGTAATTTGGGGGGTGGGGAAAAGATTCCATTCATACTAAGAACAAAAAATATAGAATTCCTGGAAAAAATTTAGTACGTGAAAAACCTTTATGAAGAAAAATCATAAAATGCTGCTGAAGACCACATCAGAAGACTTAAACAAATAGAGACTAAGACCATGTCGTGTTCAGAGTTGACAAGACTAAATATTAAATATCATCCAAGTAACCTATAAAATTTCATTGAATTCCAATAAAAACCCCGATGGGAGTTGCCACGTTAACTCGAAAAACTGATTATAAAATCCATATAGTGGAGTAAAGGTTGAAGAATACCCAAAGCATTTCCAAAGAAGGAGAAAAAAGGAGAGGGATGTCCTTTAGTGTACATAGAGATTTAAAAAGTCGTCACGAGTGGGTGGAGTCTAGATGAATGGATCAGAGTTAAGATACAGAAGCCCCAGGAACAGACCTAAGCATCGGTGGAAACTCTGGGGCCAGGGCAGGTGTTAAAAGTCAGAGGAGGGAGGTGGGGCTGTTCAAAATGTATTGAAATAGCCGACCATCCCCGTGGAGACAGGAAATCACACTCCTGCCCCAGACAATACACAAAAGCAAACTCCAAGTGGGTGAAAGAATGAAAGTGTGGGTGTACAGAGTAGAATTCTAGAACCAATAGAAGAAAATCAAGAACACTATTTTTTTTTTACTTTAGAGTCATGACAGACTTTTTAAATATGATACCAAAATTAATTGATAACTTTCATTACATAAAAATTGAAAAGCATTTATGTTATAAAAGATGCCTTAAACACACTGAGAGACACTGGGCATGCTTAGAGAATGTATCTGCAACATATAAAGCAAAAGATCGACATCTTCCTGTCTCCTGGAAGCGGCTGATACTGGGAGGAACAGAAACCCCTCCCCGCTGCCTGCCCCCAAACGGAGCTGAGCTGGGAAAAGATTGGTGGGGAGCAGAGGACTCTTAGGGCCTGGATGAGCCCAGATCTGGCCAGACCGGTCATTAAAGAGGAAGTCCAAGTGGCCACTAAGGGCCTGCAAAACTGCTCAGGCCAGGGCTTAGAACAAGTTCGAGTGACAGTGATGTTCCATTTCATACTCATCACACTGGGAAAACTGACAAATGTGACCTTCCCGACTGTTGGCTGTGGTCCCGCCAGGGGTGTAAGCTGGCGCAGCTGTTATGGACAGTGTTTTGGAACAACTGGGAAGGTTGAAAATGTGCGTGCCCCCGAGCTGACCTAGGGAGTGTTTCTGCCCCAAGTGTTTAACCTAATAACCACGAAGAAACAGAGAAATGGACACATCCTATGTGACCACTGGCCTGGATTAAAAAATGTCAAGGTTTTGAAAGATTAAAGAAAAAGCATTGAGGAACTCTGTAGATTAAAGGACAGACAGCAAGAGCCATGACAGAACGCCAAGCCTGATTCATGTTTGGATTCCGGATTGGAAAAACAAAGCAAACAGATTGGATATAGAAGACATCATTAGGACAATGGGGGAAAACTGACGTCAGACAGTTTTAGTGGAGACTGGATGGTAGCATTAACGTATCGATGTTAAATTCTCATCGTGACGGCATTGGGTTATATAACAGATTGTCTTGTCCTTTGGTGACAGGTGCTGAATTATTCAAGACAAAGTGTCTGCAGTTTACTCTCACATACCTATGGGGGAGGAAGTGAACCAATTGTAGCAAAATGCTAACCCTTGGGTGAATCGGAGGGTTAATGGGTGTTAATGATAGGAATCTTACAACTTTTCTGTAGATTTTAAGTTTTTCAAAATAAAATTTTGTGAAAAAAATGTGAGCGCTCTATGACCCAACATTGGTATCTTCAATATTGGGCTTAGAATAAATCAGGTCTCTAGGGATCAGTATTAATAGAGTAGAAATGAAAATAGGAAATAATGTTATATATTGTTTATGGATACAAAGATGTAGCAGGGGTGTGAACTCTGGACTGGACACATCAATTTCACCATCTGGTTTCCTGTGGGCAGAAAATGAAACACGATGGGAAAGGGGACAATGAGGAATTTCAACCTAGTCCGTAAGGCTTTCATTCTTAAAGAAAAAATCTAAAACAAAATCAAAAATAGAAAAAAAAACAAATAGAAAAATTAAAAAAATTTAAAGTCTATTTTTTTGTTTATGCTACTGTAAGTTGTCCCAATTTCCCCCCTTTGCCCCCCTCCTCCTGGTACCCCCTTCCCTCCAGCCACGCACCCCCACTTAGTTCATGTGCATGGGTCGTGCATGTAAGTTCTCTGGCTTCTCCATTTCCTGTACTATTCTTCACCTCCCCCTGTCTGTTTTGTGCCTACCAATTACGCTTCTTATTCCCTGTACCTTTTTCCCCTCATTCCCCCCACCCCCTCCCTGCTGATAACCCTCCATGTGATCTCCATTTCTGTGATTCTGTTCCTGTTCTGGTTCTTTGCTTAGCTTGCTTTTTAGATTCAGTTGTTAGTAGTTGTGAGGTTGTTGTCATTTTCATGTTCATAGTTTTGATCTTTTTTTCTTAAATAAGTCCCTTTAACATTGCATAGAATAAAGACTTGATGATGATGAACTCCTTTAACTTGACGTTGTCTGGGAAGCACTTTATCTGCCCTTCCATTCTAAATGATGGCTTTGCGGGATAGAGTCATCTAGGTTGTTCATCTAGAGTAATCTCACTTTTCATCACTTTGAATACTTCTTTCCAGCCTTTTTTTGCCTGCAAAGTTTCTTTTGAGAAATCAGCTGACAGTCTTATGGGAACTTCTTTGTAGGTAACTCTCTGCTTTTCTCTTGCTGCTTTTAAGATTTTTCTCTTTCTCTTTAACCTTTGGCATTTTAATTATGATGTGTCTTGGTTTGGGCCTCTTTGGGTTCATCTTGTTTGGGATTCTCTATGCTTCCTGGACTTATATGTATATTTCCTTCACCAAATTTGGGAAGTTTTCTTTCATTATTTTTTCAAATAAGTTTTTAACTTCTTGCTCTTCCTCTTCTCTGTCTGGCACCCCTATGAATCAGATGCTGGCATTTTTGGAGATGTCCCAGAGTCTTCTTATGTATATTCCCCTCATTTAAAAAAATTCTTGTTTCTTCTTTCTGTTCTGGTTGAATGTTTATTTCTTCCTTATGTTCCAAATCATCGATTTGAATCCCAGATTCTTTCCCTTCACCATTGGTTCCCTGTGGATTTTTCTTTATTTTACTTAGTGTAAACTTAATTTCTTTCCTTACATTTTTGCTCTACTCAATGAGTTCTCTGGGAATTCTGATCACTAGTGTTTTGAACTCTGCATCTGGTAGGCTGGTGATCTTTGCAGGTAGACATGCTTCACTTCCTCATGCAACTATAAGAAGAATTACAACTAACTTCAAAACAAAAAACACTCAGAACTGCCAGAAAATCCAACTGTATGGAAGTCCGACAACCAAGAAGCCATATTCAGCCATATTCATCTAGATGAGTAGGAAGGGTGGAGTCGTGGAGTTGGGGCAGAGAGGGTGCAGTGTGGTGGTGAGAGGCAGGAGCAGTGTTGGCAGAACCAGGCAGTCCCACATTCACGTGTGGTGAGTAAAAATCAAGAGGGTTACCTTGGGAGCAAGTGATCCCAGCCCCAGGCCAAACCACACAGCCCAGGGTTCCAGCACAGGGAAGACAAAGCCCCACAGCTTCTGGCAGTAAAAACCAGCGGGGGCTGGGACGGTGGAAGAAACCATGGGTTTCTCAGGACAATACTCTAAAGGGCCCGCATGGATTTAGAACATACACAAATCTATCCACTTTGGGGACCAGCACTAGGGCAACAGCTGGAAGGGTGCCACTTGCATACAGGAAGTGGGTTGAGTGACTGGAAACAAGGCAAGTGCCTGGCAAGCCTCCAGAAACCAGGCAGCAGCCCCGTCCTCTCTCTGAGCCCTCTCCCCATGCAGAGCCACAAAGCGGTGAAGCGGGTTGCCCTGCTCTGGAGAATACCTGGGTCTCTGCCCCATACAACTTAACGAGTGCCCTGAGACAGGGAGTCAAAGCAGCTCTACCTAATACATGGACACAAACACAGGGAGGCTGCCAAATTGAGGAGACAAAGAAATATGGCCCAAACAAAAGGACAGAACAAAACCCCAGAAAAAGAACTAAACAAACAAACAAAAAAATTCTTAACAGTAGTCATCTAGGGTAGATATGGGGAAGTTTCCCTTTTAACTTTATACATTTCTGGTTTACTTTTTAATATTTTTTCTTCTCACTGGTTATGAGAAAAAAATTACTATCTGTATTGGGTCAAGGACTATATCAGTCCAGCTAGGGATTGGGAATCTGAAAAAAAGAGTCCCTCTAAGCTTACGCTTGTCTCTGGTTAGCTGTGTGACCTTGGCCCTTCTGGGACCGCCTGTCTGAAGGGCCCTTTTCCCTGTAGTGTTAACGTCTGTATTAAATGAGATAACGCATGTGTTGTTGTTTACCACAGTGCCTGGCACACAGGAAACCCCCCAGAAATGTTAATACCACCATTGTTATTGCTGCAGCTGCTGCTAATATTATCCCCAGCTTGCTTGGCTGGGCAGGGCG